CAAATAAAACTCCAAGCCCGTCTCAAAGTTTCCTCGAAACCTAGATGCCCCTTCTAAGCAAAATGTCGCATGCTCATTTAAGGTCAGTGATCTTGTTTGACCTTTCAAAGGTCATGGTGATCAAAATCATAGAACACTGCTTTGAGTTTTACATTTGAAGAAGCGACAAAGCTTAAGCTAGGCAGTATGTTCCTAAATTATAAGAAGTCCATGGAAAATGTCTAATGCGGTTCCTGTCATCACGTATTCGAAACGAGCACCAGAAACCACCCCACACAACAAGCCCTAGAATAATAAAACAGATCGGTGTTGACTTTGGCCTAGTCTTCATATCTGACCCTACGTCAATGGAATTTGGTCATTTAATTGTTGTGTTGCCTGATAAGTATCTCAGAGATGTATGGCTTCGTCTAACACTCCATTGTTCCATCAGATTGAACGGTTCCCTAGAAATCGACTTCACTGAGCCCATGGCCTGACTTTGACCTACCGTAGGTCAGCGACCTTACAAGGTACATCCAATTTTTGATGCCACACGATTTGTTATTCAATTTTCTACAGCTAAGCAAAATTTGGCGTGGCTACACCGCGCCGTTTGGAAACCACTTAAGAAAAATATTCGTGCGGAGGGTCAATTTGACCCCCACCCGAGCGCGTGTTAACTGGAGTGAGTTATGTCACGGTTTATCGCATCAAGATACACTGTATTTGGGTGATGTGTGATGCATGTAAACTGTCAGACCGGGGCGGATCCAGGTACACCGCCCTGCTCAGCTGTCCAGCTGAGCCCAGCACTTATGCAAAGTGTGAATCTGACTAGGAGACGTAGCAGAAAACCTTAAATAGTGATTTACATACAGGTAGCACATGATATACTCATACTAGAACCCTAAATAAACTACATCGGTGGAACTGACGCAAACATTGATTTTCAGATTGGCAGAACAGGATCATTGCAGTTAGGGTTTTGTTCTACTTCGGTGGTTTGCATCATGTAAGTTTGCAAATGTGATATACTACAGCTATTTACTTCGCATATCGCTATACATAAGGGCGGTGTCACGGAGTATGCATGGGACGCAGAAATTTTGGTACCAACATTTTACAGATATTTTAGCGTCTGGCACAATGTTAGCTCCATTAGTGTTGCGATTGGCCAATCACATCACACAAAAATGACCTAACATAATGTAAAATAAAATCATATCAGTACCTAAAGCTCACAGAGGAGGCGAGCGATCACATAAAATGAGCGTCCTACATTTTGCTCTGGTCACGTGTTTGTGCGTACAATATGTTGTGGCGGGAGGACTCGAATGACGACCACTTCAAGCGTCATATAATAACATTTCTGCACTTGCTATTGACCAAATGAAATAAACGATGTGTTAGTACCGTCTTTTCGGCGTTACAAAGCAGGTTATTGATGGTAGTAGCTTTCCAGCACTGGAATAATACAGCGTATATTGTGCATTTTTACCGCCTCCTGAATATGTCTGACTCCACTATGGGCACTCAGTCTTTTATTTTTGTAATATTGTCAATTATGACTTCCGTAAGTTTTCGTTGCCACATTTATTCAAGGCAAGCAGATCCATCCAGATGGCCATACGCGGAACGTGACAAAATATTTGCCTCACTTTCGTTTAACTAGTGGGCCATTTATTTTTCAAAAACTTACAGATCCTAAAACAATGTTAATACGCTGGCAATAAGTTTGTGGCATCAAGGCACAAAATCAGTCCAGAAAATATCGAAATTTCAAGCGGGTAAACCGACGGACATTTCATTCGAGCGGAGTTTTCTGCACGCAATATAGGGCAAACTTAAGAAAAAATGCCCAATCGTGAAACCCATTAACATTTTTCTAGGTCATTTTTTCCTCCGGGTGCTTACAGACTTTATCGTCATCACACTTCAGCCATGTTCGCTCCAACGACGGCATTCCTCAATGTCTGTCGGCCGCTTCGCGATGTGAAGGCCAAATTCTACCATTGGTGTTACGTCGAGTTTAAAACCAGATGCAAAAGGGTATGGTTTTAGATACACGGGCGGGAGCAAGGCTGATTGCATAGCATTTCGCACGAAACAGAGGCATGCCTCGCTGCCGGTCATCTCTGACACCTGCCGGTGTGGGTGGTGTCCCATCTAGGAAGAGGCCTGCCTCTTTGCCGGTCGTCCCTGACACCTGCCGGTGTGGGTGGTGTCCCATCTGGGATGAAGCCTGCCTCTTTGCCGGTCATCTCCGGCACCTGCCGGTGTGGGTGGTGTCCCGTGTGGTAGGTGGCCTGCCTCTTTGCCGGTCATCTCTGACACCTGCCGGTGTGGGTGGTGTCCCGTCTGGGAGGAGGCCTGTCTCTTTGCCGGTCATCTCTGACACCTGGCGGTGTGGGTGGTGTCCCATCTGGGGGGAGGCACGCCTCGCTGCCGGTCATCTCTGTCACCTGCCGGTGAGGGTGGTGCCCCGTCTGGGAGGAGGCACGCCTCGCTGTCGGTCATCTCTGTCACCTGCCGGTGAGGGTGGTGTCCCGTCTGGGAGGAGCACCACCCGCTGACACCGCCGCCAGCGCCGCCGCCGCTGGAACCGGAGCGAGGTCGGCGCGGGCAAGGCCGACGCCGCGCGGCGAGGACGCAACGGCCCGCTCCGTGAGGTAACCGTGACGTCACGGCCCGTCACCGGCCGCAAGCCGCAGTCCCTGCTGCGGACCGGTACGGCGGCGCCTCGGCGGCACACACCGCGGATTACAGCGTGGGGTCCCGGACTCAGCCGTGCCATCAAACGGCGCTCGAGAAGGTTGGCCGGCTTCGCTTCTGCGGCCGTACTCAGAGGTCGGTCGCTCACCACGCCGTCAACTCACGCCTGCCGGTGCCGCTTCGGAGTCGGTCGGTAAAGGCAGTATGTCTTCGACTAGTATAGCCCTTGACGAAAATCGGCGCGTGTTTATAGGCGTTTGTTGTCTCAGATAATGACCAAATTTCAAGCTGAAGGAGTTGAGCCAAAGGAATGAAGGGAAGCATATTGCGATTAAAAGAGTTCTGGCATGACGACGAAAGGAGTCCATTAGCATGCTGCTGAGGGTTCGCCTCCTTCATTGCCGACCTAGTACTGACATAGAATGCACTTCGTCACGCCTAAAAACTTACCTCTTTAACATCGAATGGCACGCGAAGCGAGCCTTCAGGCAGAACATGCTTTTCTTTTGCGCGACGAGCATCTGTCACTTGTCAGTGAAGATTTCCATCCTCAGGATCCGTTCTTCATATGATGGCCGTACGCCCCCCCCCCCCCCCCCACCCGGCAGACAGTTAGCCACTAAGAATGGTAAAACCAACTGCAGAGCACAGTCTGCGCTGCTTGCTGGGTGAGTTTTGGTCTTGCCATGACATGTTCGGAAGCGCCCAGGATCGCACCACCCGTTCCCCTCCTCTGTCGCCAGTGGTGACAAACTACCGAGTGTCTGTATGACTTCAACGTTTCAATATCAATAGCATGAGTGTAGGGACCGTCCATGAATTGCGTTATAAATGCGTGTAGAGACCATCCACAAATAACGTGATGGATGAGTGTAGGGACCGTCCATAAATTACGTTATACATGGAAAAGGGGTTTTGATGGAGCGCAGCCGAAGCGGGCCACAGGAAGGCGTAATTACAAGTCATGCTTAGGTAAAGGTAGGCAAAGTCAAATCCTTAAGTCATAGATCGTTGGCTTTCTCTTATTATAAGAACACGCAATTTATTTATTCACATCTCTAGGCCAATCAGGAACCGAACAGACCCTGGTTATTTGCGGAACTCGGGTTAAAGACAGCATTAGACACCTGGCTACGCCAAACAAAGCGTAACCAGATGGAGAGGGGGAGGGGTATTCACCCCTCACAGTCAATGGGTTGCCGGGGAGAAAGGAACATTAGAAATCGTTCAAAATGCACACCCAACTTATAGACGGCTTTATAGTAAAGTTGCGATGCCCAGTGGAGAATCAAGGGAATCCTGGTTGCGTACATTATTAATCCTGATGTTTTTACCAGTGAATTCTTGCAGTAAGTTACGTTTGCCTGCAGACAACGCATTTATTGACGTACCCTCATTACCGCTGGCTGATTTCTCTACGCACTCTCCCTGCCTTTAATGCAGCGCTCCTTGAGGCGCACCAGGCGTTCCATGGCTTCCCCAAAGCTCTGAATGCGTGTATGTTCGTCGCACTGGAGTGTGACCGATCTCAGAAGGGACCGTGACCGGCTGCGACACCCACGAGGGTGATCCTTCGTTTGAGGGAGCAACCAAACCTTACTGGGGGCGAGATTCGGGGATCGCGGAGATGCTCCAGCAGCTCGATGTTGTTGTTGGTCACACTTTCAGTCACGTTTAAGTCACACCTCGGTCACATCTCAGTCACACGTCAGTTACATTTCAATCGCATTTCAGTCGCATTTCTGTCAAATCACGCACTGCATCATCTCAGATTAGACGGGGCGTTGTGATGGTGAGGAACGCGCCGGCACTTTGTCTTCCCTGGACGGTGCTCGGCGATGGCCGGAAGATCTTTCCTCCGCGTGGTTTCGTGCAACAGGTCTATGATAGAAGCACCTTTCGGAACTGGGTAGGGCTCACAGGTCTGTTACAGGTTAGCCCCCCCCCCCCTCCGTACAGGGCGCAAGCCTCTTTATTATATAAAATTGCGATTACCACATCAGGTGAAGCATTCCATTGCCCTCGAATCACTTTCGCCATTGCAGCTCGGAGGCAGATACCGATCCGTCTACACACACAAATGTGAGGGAAGTATAGTGACATGAGCAAAGTCGTAAGTTGTACTGACCGCAAATGACTAAAGTGAGATCGTAGGTACTCACTAAAAGCGCGCCAGATTTAGGGAAACGCTTGGCTGATTGCCGCGTCATTACAACGACCGGCCAGATCATACTAACTGGAGTCCCGCCAAAGTGACCTGTCGCAATCACACGTCAGCATCCGTGCGTGCGCCGGTAGGAGCTCAGTACATTCGGTAGGAAGTGTATTCGGTAACGAAAGGCACAGAACAAGCATGCAAGGAAAAACCACGAGACCTCAGTGCACATACAGTGCACTGAGGTCTTAGCTTACAGGTTGTCTTCAAAACAAAGCGCACTTGTGCGCATGAGATGCGACATTCCAAATCTCCTTGCCGTCTTAGGTGGTATCTGCTTGATCATAGCACGTCAACGATCACGCAGCGACCTGACCTATTTGCCCACTGCGCACGTGTAGCCGTGGGTTTTACAGCATTCCGGAAACACGGCGAAGCGATGGGGCAAGGTTTCGGTGCAGCCTTCGGGAACGGCAAATACCCCACACCTGAAACACAAGATGCGCCAAAAGCTTGACACCATATTTCGACAAAACAAGTCAGTCGCGCACAGCACAAAAGCCAAACACATTATGTCTGACCAACACGTTTAAGCGCAGCAGCAGGAAGAATCTCTTGTTTCACCAGTGCGTTCTTTTTATAAGGGACATAAGAACTGATATGGCGTGTCAACTGCATGGTTTCCGGCACGCATGCTTAAGTATTAGAAGTCGTCATATGCGTTCAGCAAGGAATTATACTTGAAAAATAAAACCCGTGAATAAAAAATTCTGCCATTCTGTGCAGACACTGCCACTAAAAGGTGTTAAAAACGATGCATTATCCAAGCTCACATCGCTCCGTATACCTACGGATCAACGTTGAAGGCATCGAAGGTCATAGGAACATGGATCTACGTGATTCCAACATAGGAAATCTGAAATCATAATGCTGAGCTGACATGAGCTCCTGAGCCTTCATCTAAGGAAGTAAATAATTTTCTTTTTTACAGCAAAATTGACTTATTACTTCTGGCTGAACATTGTATTTCCGGGGCAACTCCCTCGTTCCTCCGACGGTTTCATAATCTGGCGGCAGTCGTATGAAGCAGAGTATAAAATGTCAAGGCCAAATCAATTTTCATGGCGATACACGCATTCGCTGGCAAGGCAACGATAACGTCCTGTTGGACTCGATAGTTTTGGACACTTTGAATTAATCCAGGAACATCACTTAAGTGGCGTATGACGGCGTCGCGAATTATAAGTTAACTTTGTAGCACATGTATGTTGTGTATAGACACCCAATTAATGCACAAATTACGATGTCTTTTATATTTCGCTGGAATGAAGACACCATAACATCATATGATTACCATAACATCGTTCCGATACCCGCAGAAGTTAACACAATTGTTAAAATTGTGTATTCATTGAAGGGGGGTTTCAAATTTTTATAGAGCTTTGAACCGAAATGGCCACCTCGAAAACCTTGCCGTGCGGTTAACGGCCCATCCCTTCTCAGAACATGAACCCGTTTAGTCCCTGAGCTACATGCCCGCACAAATGGAAGTACTATTTCGGGGAGAGTGTCTCAAGGTCACCTTGGCATTCATGACATCATAATAACGTCATTTAGATCCTGCCATTTCATAAGCCGTGCGGCGATCACGGCCGAGACAACATGATCGTCGAGTCGTCCGTATCGGACATCCGTGAGCGCGATTTCCAGATATAACGGCAGTCAACTGGCCTCAATCGATGTGGTGCAAGGTAGACAATGAAGTTCTGAGGAGCATATTTACTAAACAGAAGTGTTCTGTTGTCTAGAGAAGTCCTTTTTCTTAAAAGCACACCAATATTTATAAGCGGGCTTATTTCATTGTATCTGATGCTTGCTTCAGCGTCTCCTAACGCGAAACATTCCCTTAAGGACGAAAATGATGAAGCATAAAATCGCGAAAAAAGTTGAAGAAAACAGGTAAAAGATTTGAAGGGCTTGGGCTGTCGGTGGGCGTGCGCCCTCGCTATGGGTATACGTGTGCTGTGGGCTGTGGGTAGAAGTGCGCTGTGGGCTGTAGGTAGACTTATGCTGTGGGCTGTGGGCAGACGTGCGCTGCTGCTGTGGTTAGACGTGTGCTGTGGGCTGTGAGTAGATGTGTGTGCAGTCGGCTATGTGCTCTCGAGCGCAAGCCTCGAACATGACCGTTTTGGGGGTGTTTTGGGGATTTTTGACGTGTCTCAACAACCAGTGTAGAGAATTGTGTAAAACTAACTTGACGGCGAAAGACAATAACCTCTATTTCTCTGGGCCTTGGCGTCATTAACATGATGGAAACACCCACCTCAATTATCACTTCAGTCGTCCCACCCCACAAACGGTATTTAACTAGTACTCGCAGGCAAGTTAGTGCCACTACTACCAAGCATAAACGGAACACAAACCAACCAATTACGCTACTGAAACGGACATTACCAGGCGTGGGCCCTTAACTTGGGCCGAGCACCTTTCGAACCTTTGAGGAAGAACTGTAAGATGCACTTAAGGGACAATTGCGTCGAGGGACACCTAGTTTTCTTCTACCTGGGCATCACCCATTAATAAGTGACCACCCCTGAGTGCCAACCCTGTCCTCGCGCCACACAGAGCCTTACGATAATACCGGCATTGGTAACCGATACGTTGAAATCGCGGCACTCCTACCTAGCTTATAAATGTGAGACCTACTAAAGAACAACAACGCGGGTAACCAAAGGAGCAATAAATTCACCATCAATGCTGCCATGATAGCATCTGCTAGTGAGAGATGGTAAAAAGTAACCAATGGAAGGAGGACAATTGGCAGACCACCAATATCAATACCCAATTAGTAGAGTGGTACATAGCAGCGCCAAGTTACTATGCTACTAAGTGGCAGGGGGAGAACAATATCCTAGTCTTGTTGCTTGCATGCCACCACCTCCAGCGCCCGCAAACCAAGGGAGCTTGTTTTCAGGATTGGAAGAAATGCCGAGGTTGCTACTCAGAGAGGCATCGCTAAGAGTTTGCGGATGAAAAAGTGTCAGTTGCAAACACCACCATGCGTGCCCATACCAACCCACGCCATACATGTAATCCCTTCAGCTTCTCTCTCTCTCTCTCTGTCTCTCTCTCTCTCTCTCTCTCTCTCTCTCTCATCTCTCTCTCTCTCTCTCTCTCTCTCTCTCTCTCTCTCTCTCTCTCTCTCTCTCTCTCTCTCTCTCTCTCCTCTCTCTCTCTCTCTCTCTCTCTCTCTCTCTCTCTCTCTCTCTCTCTCTCTCTCTCTCTCTCTCTCTCTCTCTCTCTCTCTCTCTCTCTCTCTCTCTCTCTCTCTCTCTCTCTCTCTCTCTCTCTCTCTCTCTCTCGCTCTCATACGCACACACACACGCAAAAGGAGACGTTACGCATACACGTACACACACACACACACACACACACACACACACACACACACACACACACACACACACACACACACACACGCACGTATACCGGCACACGCATATGCACACGCACACAACTTAACCATTGGCACGTATTTTTGGTCCGCGCCGTATGCGAGATAGTAACCCGATCGGGTCATATGCCTCATACCTAGTGGACCCTTGGCACCCTTATGCCTTGTGGACCCTTGGCAATGGTGGCACCGCTATTGTCTCCCTCAGACGGCGGGCGCACGTGCTTTAAGGGAATGCTCCACACTTGAAGATATTGAAGCAAGCATCAACTGTGATAAAATAAGCTCACTTATGATATTGGCATACTTTTAGCAGCTCCTAAACATAATTATTTCTCTGTTTAGTGAGCACGTTCTTCAATACGCCATTGTTTGATTACGTAATCGCACCTTGCACGACACAGATTGAGAGCCGGTTGACGGCCGTTATATCTGGAAATGGTGCTCACGAACGTCAGATATAAACGAATCAACAAATATGCTTTTCTTGGCCTTGATCGCCGCATGGCCAGGGGAATGGCAAGATTTGAATGACGTTAGTATGACGTGATAAATGCCTGGTGACCTTGACAAGGTTTGCATAAAAAATCTAAACATCCTCCCGGGCATGTTGTTCAGAAACTAGAGAGGTTTAGGCCGTAAGAAGGGCAGGGCTGCGAGTTAACACTCCCTTAAACCCTTGCCCTGCTAGAAGGGGCGAGAGACCGATTCGATCCTCCCTAAGGTTTTTTGACGATGCATCTTTGTCATGTTGTGCAATGTTGTCAAAATATCCAGTGACTTAAGGGCATGCAACACGCGTGTTTTGACGCCGAAGCCGTGTCCCTAGCATTTCTGGTTTTAAGGAGCGGCGCACGACGCTCTACGGCCTGCGCGGGGGGCGGCCGGCAACCGACGACGCCGCAGAACGCGCGCGGCAAGCCAGCATTGTTACGGTAACGTAGTCGTACATCACAAACAGATGGTCAAAACACGTAAAAACGTATCCAGTTGCACTCGACATCGAACAAGTAACGCGTATTTCTAACTTTTGCGTCAGTTCAAAGCAAGGCGACTTATATAAGAATAAGGTTGTAAAGCTGAAACGTGGAATTGTGGTGAAATTTGCTATTGATCTGGCCTAATGCACCAATTATTGTACTAGCAATATAAAAAAAACGTTTGACCAAAATCGTGGTCCCGTCGTGCCACCAATTCGCCTGTTTTCCGCTGAGCTCTACTTTTCTTAGTATCCGTTTTGCGATATGCATGGAATTTTAAAAAAAGTTTATTATATGTTTCTATTACGTTTAAGTAAAACTAAGCACTCTTACAAGGAAAAGGTTGTTTCCATGCAATGCCAAATACATGCATTGGGTAAGCCACGTGTATGCCGCCAAGAATAAGTTTGCTATACTAAACGTGACCCTTTATTGATATTTCTTCAGCCCATGCCTTCAGCCCATGGGCCGGCAATCAGCCATGCGAATTGGTCGAGGGCGTTAGATGCTGGCTGCGCCATTGTTGTTTACATCAGTGCCGTTTGGAGCAAGGCGGGCTTTGAGGATCACTTCGTTCTAGGATCATACGTATTGAATCGTGCTAGGGTATGCATTCTTTGTAAGCTCTGTATGTACTGTAAGCAAGCTCTGTAACTACTGTAAATAAACTCTGCAACTACTGTATACCTATGAACAGGGACGCTGCAAGGACATGGGAGCCTAATTTGCAACATCTGCGTTAGAAGTGCCACCGAATGGTTTGTATAAGTTTTGAAAAGTTTTGATAGAAAGATATCTGACATTATACCTGTCTACGCAAGCGTGATTTTCCTTATTGCCAGCTAGCCAGCTATATCTCCATTCTCCTGGTTTTATTAGCCTTGTTCCCGGTGGAATGATGCTAATACCACCGCCGCAACTACTAGTGTAACCGCAATTTTATCAAATCTGCGTCTCTATGAACATGTTTTTAGACCTCTACGGAACATTTCAAAAGCAAATTACTGACAAAAGGTGTGCGATTAGAACATTAGCGCTGGCAAGTTTTTGCAAAGCTTAAAGTTATTGCACCGTTATCCTCTGTGAAAACGAATAGTATGGAAACACCAGAATGTGTAGCACCGACCTCCTCGCATATCAGTCTGTGCTATGAAAAAGGCAAATCAGGGTCGGAGGGTTAAAACAACTTTACACTTTTTTTCGCTGGTAGATTCTACAGAAAGCATGAACTTCACCTGATAAACAAGAGATAGGCAATCGATACACATTTTGGATTCCGTTTCGATCTGCGCTGGTGTTCAATCCAAGGGCCCCGCATTAAATTGACAACCCCGAGAAAATCCGGTGACGCCTTGAGTGTTGAGTGGGTTGAATAGAAAAGTGTCCCAATGAACCACTGTCAAGTAAAGCTATTTATGTGATGCAGCTATCCAATTCCTGCTTGATCTCGTTTACTGGCTTCTACAACTTGGTGCAACCATGTAATTCTTGTTTGAGTAAATTCCATTTGCTTCTCATTATGAGAGGATTTTTTATGGTGAGCACTGGCTTTTCTCTCAGTGAAAGAAGTTCGACATGAAACCAAATTACAATAACCTCTAAAAATGAAGTGGGCTTAATCCGGTGAACTATTTCAGTGTAATATAATTTACCGATTACGACACAAGAGTATTGAAGTAAAGTCGCCAAAATCCGGGGACTTTGTTGTAAAGGCTGGACCAAGTTCCAAGGAGCAACACAATGAAACGCAGCCGTTCCCTGGACGAAATCCTAGGTCAGCCTCTGCTTATTACATGTTTATTTCGGCTCTCTATGTTGCAAATACAGTTAGTATCCCACGCAAATCAGTGCATTTTAGTTATGATGACTCAAAGATACCAATCTCGTCCTCTTACTCATCGGTAGTTTGTTAACCTTCACTCCAAGCTGGATATTTGATATTATTGTGTCATGTTGGGAGTAAGTTTTACCCACTTCAGTAGATAAGTAGCTAGCTCGGAAACGACTCAGTGATGAACCCAAGCAACGAATTTACTGATGAAGCCAGCCAGGCCCAAAATGGAGCCTGGGGACACCCCTGAACTGGGGTGGAACTGAACTATGCCACTATCTTGCATTGGTGACGCTAGGTCATCCGAATATATTACATGCAATACATGATTCCCTGTCGTGTTGCCAAGGCAAGCGAATATGAACAACGAAAGTCAAATTATTGTACGCACATCTCTTGCTGGCCAACGTTACGCTGAGTCTGGTTTTGCCCCAACAAGCGACGTTCAAGTCATTCACACCGACAACCTTGGCTGACCTACTTTGAAAGGGCGCGGCGCCGTTAGGTCACCAGACGCAAGGGACAGATTTTCACGAAGCTCGCCCAAGGGGCTGCAACTGTACAAAGGTCATGGAAGAAAGCACCCACTCCCCTCATGGTGATACACGTCCACATTGCCACCATGACATTGCCGTTTTAACAGCTAACGAAAGTGACGAATGTCTCGCGGCTTAACCGGTCTAAAGTATGCTTACGATGTGAATGATTCGTAAAGGCGACCATCGTTCTCTTCGCAGCGCACGATCCAACATCCTCTTCCATAGCGGGTGGTTCCAGGTTTCAAGTAGTCGTTCAGGTCTGAAACGTAGCATTCGCCCTCGCGTCCTGGAAAGAAATAAGAGGAAAAGTCGCAAGGTACCCTCCGAACGCTGCACATGATGTTTGACATGTGCCCGGTAAATCAAGTTAACGGTAAATTTTTGAATGTTGCGTGGTTATATGGGTCATTAAGCTAACTACTAAGCTGCTGCTCAGCTTCACGCCCGTAAAATAAAAGGAATAAGTTGAACATAACATATTTAAAGCTTTTCTGGTTAAAGCTATCTCTTGCAGGTATCTTGTTGTCTGTCATCTCTTGCCAACAGCGCCAAAACTCAAGGAGCACAAAGGCCTTCTTGACGAGATTCAGTGACTCCTGAACACCGCTTTCTGCATAGTAGGGCCTAAGTAGGGCCTAGTATGGCCACTGAAGGGCTTCAGTTTTGCATACAAGTCACCGATCGGTGAGCACAATTGTGTTTCATTTCTCAAAGGCGGATGAACTTCCGCGGTCTCCATCTGCGGTACCCTTTGATGCATTGTGAACAATGGAAACAAGCTTGGCTTCAAGAGTCGCATGCCGGGTTGTCCTACACCCAGCAACGCACCATCCTGCCATAGTACACTAAGGTGCAGAACGGGGGCTCATTTCAATTGGTCTCACCTTGATGGATCACGGCCGGCATATACCTGGCGGCTCGTGTGACGCGTGTTGCTGTTTCGCAACATGACACGAACACCAACAGCAAGATACCAGCAGGGAGGACGTCCATGGTGGTCGTCTGCGTCTGCGCCGAGAGGCCTGGGCAGGTACGGAAACGCTGTGGACGCCTGGCTCCCCACAACAGTAATGACGCACCTTGCCAGTCGTGATGTCTGGGCCGCAGCGTTGAGGCAAAACCGGTTTTGCACAGCTGTTTCGGGAAGGGCCCTAGGGAGACTGTGATTCTGAAATTTCCCGGGGTTTTCCAATGCACAGCTGTTGAATAATGCCGCGAGTCAGCCACTGACGCAATTGAACGGATCGTTTGATGTTTATGGCTTATGTCCAGCTTCCCTTTACCTGCGAACTGCGCGTGCGTGGTGCGGTCAGTGGTACGCACTGTTTACTGTGCACTCTGCTGCAGCATGTCAACACTGCCCCGTCACTAGACTTGTGCTGGACTCAGAAGGAATCGGGTCGTATTTCCAGTTTATTACGTTTGGCGGGAATGAGATTTGGATTGTGGTTCATTGATAACTCGACCGAATGAGAAGCGGGTTTACCGGCCTCATCTGCTGTCGGATAAAAACCATGCCAGAATAGAGATGTAATGCTATTTTTACTACTAACTTTAGTCGAAACAGTGCATGATGAGTGACGGGCAGTTAACTCCAGCCTACCTTGGGAGGAACAAAATATGCGCACATTCAGCAGACATGCTTGTTCTACAAAACCACTCATCCGACCGCTTTGGAACCTCAGCTTATCGGTTCAGCGCAGTACATTGGACCGAGCCGGGTGCATAGGTGACAATATCGTGACCCGACCTAAGATTAAATGCCCGAAGAACGCGATGGAACATTTCACATGCAAAAACGAACGATTCAGATCTCATAATGTATTACTCGCTGCGGAACCTTCAAAACCAATCGCTGCTCAAGCCCCATTGTGCGATGCGCCATACTCATTCGCTCTTTGCATCTGCGAGTACTGTGATCATAGGTCATTTGAAGTCATCACACGAAAACAAATTCGAAGTCTTGCTTGCTGACAGCTGAGCTGTCAGAACCCACTGCACCAAGCGCTGCGAAATCTGCACCAATCGATGCGCCATACTTGGCTCCTTCTTGCAACTGTCAATATGGTAGCACTTGGTCAAAGACCAGGTTACCAAATTCAGCACCATCCAAAATTCTTGCCTGCGAGTAACTCAGATTTCAGAGGCTATTGCTCCTAGCATTGCGAAATTTTTACCATTCGATGTGTATTAACTGATTCGCTATTCCCGGACCATCCGCTTCCACATTGTCCTATTTTCTTGTATTTCCCCACTTTCACTTCTATTCGCCTATACCTCCCTATTTTCTTTATTCTTAATTCACTCCTGATTCCCTTTCGCATAGCAAATGTTTCTCCGATATAGCAGACGCGGTGGGAAATCAGATATGGGGCATCGAATGGTAAAGTCTTTACAGCGATCGGGGCAGTAGGCGAGGCTGGAACTTTTTACCTGGGGATATGAAGAGTACAAGTGCTTGCCACGCTCAGACGAGGAGGGAAACGGCCAGGTCAGGGATCGGTCACCCAGTTTATATTAAATGGAAGGACTACTTATGAACATTCAAGACCAGCTAGTTACTCACATAACAATAGTTACCTCGGTAATAACAGGAATGATAAATCCGACTAACCGAATCGGACCGAACCTGCCGACCGGACCGTTACGAAACGCCACAAATGTCTTCAAGAAAAAGGTCTAGGATTCGCCCGCACTTTTTCTGCGAACCCTCTTTGCGAACCGGTACCCCCTTTTTCAGGGGTGTCGGTAAGTGTAGTGGTTCACGCGTCTGCGTAAACCAATGCCAGTCTGGGAAACCAGAGGCACGGGGTTCGATTCCCCGCGGTGCCCGCCCTTCCCGCCAGAGTGAGAGACAGGCGACGCCATATAGCCTTATCAGCCGAGTGCGTCGTGAAGCCCCAATTACACGCACGATCGCGTACAACAGAAACCTAAACAGAGAGCAGGGAATAGGCCGATCAGAGCTGTGGAAATTGTAGGGAAGGGCATCTCACGGTCACTGGATCTACTGACCAATTCAAGAACCGTCTACGTTCGGAAGAACCCCTGAAATGCGCTGGCCTCCACTTCGACGTGAATACTCGATAGAGCAGCTATGAAAACCTGACGATCGACGCCAGCCGGCTAAACCGACAACGACGTAATCCGACAATAACCACCAGCACAACACTAGCCGTGTCGAACATGCCTAACGGAGTGCTGCGTTGCAGTCTGCAATACGCCTGGCGGTTACGGCCAGGGCTACGTGACAACCTTTAAATGCCTCACACACCAACTTGCACTCTTTCACGAAGCCACACACATCCAAAAACATCTCAAGCTACGTAACATCATCCCTACGTCGGTTACCGAAACCGGATTTCGACGATCGACGCCAAACAAAATGACAATGATGTCCAACAACATCCTTCACCCAGACAGAGCGAGGGAACGTACCACAGCCGGGCTATAGTCTCCTGTGCAGTGTGGGGAGGGGGACGCCAACTTCATAACGTTGACGGAAGATTGGATCATGTTCCGGGAAAATCCTGTTTTCCTGCATTTAGAGCCGGGGTTTGCCCGCTTGATGCCCTTGGGTGATTTTGCGAAATTGCAAGGATGTCATTTGCAAAGCTCAACGAGGCCGAACGACCGCAACACGGGATGGAGTCGCCGCCCGATGGCCCCAGCGTCTGGTCTGAGACTTAAGCCTCACTTCGCAAGCAGGGACAAGCACGGGGCCGGCGATTTGCATTGGTCGGGACCCCTGAAAGAATAAGGGTCCCTGCGTCGGTTGGCGGCCTACAGTGCCATACAGTTCTGTGTCAGCAAGGGACCCCGAGTCGGCCAGAGTAGCATGTGCTGGACAGGGATAGGGACGGGACCCCGAATGTCAGAGGGCCTCTTGAGTTGATCGGGGCCTTCTAACCATGGCAGTGGATATGAGAGCTTACAAAGAGAGCCCACAATAAGAAAATGGAAGACCCTGTGTCAGACAGGGGCCTCAGTGCCGAACGGAGGAATCCTTCGTCCCATTTCAGGCAGGGGCCTATTATGTCGAACGGGACTCTGCGCCAATTATTGAACACCTGTGACGATAAGGGTGTTTTGCAGCAATGAGGACCCGTGAGTCGAGCCCTTGGGACCCCGTCCCCTTGTCGCCACCATGGCGACCGACAGGCAACCCACGCTTAAAAGAAATGGCCTTTTAGCCCCTGACGGGAAAATGTAATGTGCCCGTCATGTTCTACCCACTTACCCTCGCCCGGAAAAAGGTAAAGTGTTTTGTTAGTCTCCTTTGGGCGGATCAATATGGGGTCGAAAATGAAAAAGCGATGAGGACGTCCATCCATGCCCCGAATCGAACTTTGAAATAAATGATTTCAGAATTTTTTGAGTCCACGTGCTCAAAGTGTTCCAGAAGAGCAGAACACCACGCCCAGGGTTGCAGGTTCCATCAGATCGAGCGACGTTAGCCGCTGCAGCTAACACCAGGCGGCGGGTGCCTGACCTGACCGCGACCCTCGGAGAGAGGCATCTTGAAATAATGTTCCTAAAAGCTTTTCAAGCTCAGTCCATCCCGATCAACTATCGGGATGACTGGGGCGTATATTTCGCCTTTGTAATTTTGGGGCCTTCTCCTGGACAGCGACATAAACACAAAAAAGCAGCTTGGCCTTTCCTTGTCTAGCTCCACCGCCAAATTCTAGCGCCGGCTCAAGGTGCTACGCGTGTTGATCCACTCCTTTAAACGAGACCCTTTGTCGCTTTCGCCGCCCGCTGGCCGTCGCCTAACGCTAGAGCCACCATTGGACTGGGACTGACTCCATGTGACTGACGCCGCATGGCCTACGGAGACTGCAACGCCGAACATAACGGCTTTTCTCTAAGACTTGCAAGCGCGCATAGTAGAAACCATGTTATGCGATTTTTCAGTATTCGTTTTTAAACGAAAGTTGCCTATTGCCGGACGGACAAGGGTTGGCCGTGTCGCAATGCTCGGCACGGTCCGTCCTGCCCTCTGACGCCACCTGACCTTTAGCGCGGCCACTGCCACCGGCAGTAGGTCATACCTGTCAAGGACAAATCGAGCACCTAAGGCAACTCGAACCCACCCAGCTACGAGTGGATGGATCGAAAGGCAGGCGCTCTAGCAGGCTAATACATTGGGACGGTATTAGGAGAAGTGTCGCGTGTAATCGTGTGCGTTATAAATCGTGCCGCATAGAAGTAATGTCGCGTAGAAATTTGACATTGGAAGTGCTGTCGCGTAGAAGTTTATGCATTAGAACTTCTTACGTTGGAAGCGATGTCGTGTAGGACTTAGAAGTCGTGTCGTGCAAACTCTGTCGTTGACAGCATATGTGTTAGAAGTATTGTCTGCACACCGCTGCAAGCAGCGAGCACTCGTGAGTTCTCTTACCCTCTTTCTTTTTCCTGAAGCTGAAGAAGGCTGGTAATTTTGTCCTGCGCGCCACTTAGGCAGTAGTTGTTGTCATTCGACGGCTGCCAACTCTTGACGGCGCACATTGAATGCCGCTGACATCATCGAACTTTTATGCTGAGTACAACACTCTGCTTACAAAATTGACATCGAACATCAAACACAGCTTAGCCCAACGTGTCGTACCTGAGGAAAACTGATGTTTGTTTGAGTAACAGACACGCGCGTGGGTTTTTGAGATTGTATGCTGGATGCATCCCAAATACTTTGGATTGCGCACTCATTTCAAGTGCTAATTTGCGCATATGCCTCATTTATCTCCATGATTTCTAAGCTACACATGCTGCTCATTTGAAACATAACATGTGAATGTTATTAACGCAGCCAACCGATACTTTTACGTCCGATGATTATCCATTCATATTCTCCAGATGTTTCCATTCAGTTTTGCCAAGCAGTTCCGGAGCTTATCGCCTAGTTTCATCTCACCTGCATCATGTCAAATTGCGTGGTAGCCAACAGTCATATTGATGCATTGTGAAAACAATATTTCCCGTTTCCATAGGAACTATTTTTGGCATGACGAACAATTTGAAATACATTTCTGTGTTTGAAGTGGCAAACTGGTTTTGGAACAGTTCGGAACTTTTTTGGCATAACTAACGATTCTAAATACATTTCTGTGTTTGAAGTGGCGAAGACAGGATATTTTCTACCATTCCGCATATTTATGGTAGATAATCTGCCAGCCGAACGCAGCCTGTGAATAGGCTCCGTGGATCAAACGTATGGTTGCCATGGAAACAGACTGAACTCAAAAGGACGTGACCAACGTGCCCATTCCGTGCTTAAAAAACGGTCGTTCGGTGCCATGCCGGCAAACAACGTTGCAATCATCGGGAGAAATTCAGTTAAAACGCGAGGGGGCACCGGCAGCAGAACTATTAGCAACATGATCACCTCCACGCTCAGGTTACTGGTCTCCATTCCGGTCTTCGCGCACTATTTAACCATGGCAAAGGATCTCGACATTCTAAGAATATTCCATCAGAATGACATTCATTCGCACTACGACGCAGTGATGCATTCGAGTGACCCGTGCCCGAAGAATTACCGGGGAAATTGTTACGGCGGCTTCGCAAGAGCTGTTCACTACATCAAACAACGGAAGAGGGAGGGCGGCCTGTTGAACGTATACACGGGCGACTTCTTCCAGGGCCACATTTTCTACACCATGTTCGGCTGGGAGATGGCAGCAGACATCGTCTCGCAGATGCCGTACGACGCGCTGGCGCTTGGAAACCAGGAGTTCTACGGCGGCCTGGAGATGCTGATGCCGTTCATGCGTCGCGTCGGACCCGTGTTCGTTTGCACGAACCTCGACTTCCACCGGCTAAATGAGAGCCTGCAAAAGGAGCTGGCACACCTGTGCCCGCCCTCTGTCATCCTCACCATCACCACCGTCAACAGCAAGCACCCGGTCCGCGTCGGCATCGTCGGCTACACAACGCCGGAGACCGCGCGCATCGCGCAGACCGGCGCCATCGTCTTCTACGACGAGGTCCAGGCGCTCTCGGCGGAGGTGCGCCGCCTGACGCAACAGCGCGGCGTGAAGGTGGTCGTCGCGCTCGGCCACTCGGGCCTCAAGCGCGACTTGGAGATAGCGCACCAGGTCTCCGGGCTCGACGTGGTGGTGGGGGCGCACTCGCACACGCTCCAGTGGCCGGGTGCCTGGCAACCATTTCGTCCGGACACGCCCGCGGACCCGTGGGACCACGCCAGCGATGTGTACCCGCGCATCGTGACCCAGGCCAGCGGCCGCACAGTGCTCGTCGTGCACGCGTTCAAGCACGGTAAGTACATGGGCGGTATCGACGTGGGTCTGAACGAGCAGGGCGAGGTGCGTGACTGGTGGCCCAACATCACACTGCTGCGGGCCAACCAGGGCCGCGACGAGGCCGTCGTCAAAGTGCTGGGGGAGTACAACCATCGGCTAGACGTGAAGCGTACCGAGGTGATCGGCCAGAGCCTGGTCACGCTCGAGGGCCGACCCGACGTCTGCCACCATGGAGAGTGCAACCTGGGTAACATGTTCGCGGACGCGGTGCTGTGGGCTAACCAGCGCCACGAGGCTCTACATCCGCGGCCCGTCAATATCGCGCTCATCAATAGTGGCTCCATGATGAACCGCATTCTCCCGCTCAACATCACGCTGGACACGCTGCTGGAGACGCTGCCGTACCAGAACACCATCACCATTGTCACCATCACTGGCAAGACCCTGCTGGCGGTGCTGGAGGAGAGCGTGGCCCACATCGAGAACCTCGCAGGTACCTTCCTCCAAGTATCCGGCGCCAGAGTGCGCTACAACATCGGTCTGCCGCGGGGGAAGCGCGTGCTGTCAGCTCTCGTGCTCTGCACCAACTGCAGCGTGCCACGCTTCGGACCCGTGCAGCCGCACCTGGTGTACGAGGTGGCCGTGACTACGTACATGGCGGAGGGCGGGGATCAGTTCGCCTTGTTACGCGACGAGCTCCTGGCCCTTCGCTCCATGAACATGCTGGACGTGGACATCATGCTGGAATACCTCCGAATCTTCTCGATGGTGTACCCGCGCGAGGAGGGCAGGATCACCGTGATCAACGAGTCCTCTCTCGCTCTGTCCGGCTCATCCAGGGCCTTGACAACGTTGACGCTGAAGATCGTGAGCGCGGTGCTTTGTGTCGTTGAGACGCTCTGTGTATGTCGGAAGGCATATACGTGGCAGTGGGACACACTGCAGATGCTGTGCGCTGTGTGAAGAGATGCTGGGACCACTTGAAACAGTGCAGGGTGTTTGAACGCGGCTGGGAGCGCTGCATTCAGGTGTAATGAGTGAAAGATAGCGTGAAGAAAGCGCTGACACAGACGCCGCCGAAATCCTAGGCTGAAGGCTGGCCGCCATTAGCAACGTGAACTCAGCATTCAGTGACATATTTTTATTCGTTGTCGTAGTTGTAGTTATTACTGCATTACTATCACCAGCAAAGTGGCTATAACGTTCCAAAACTATGGAATTATGGATCAATAAATGTGTGATGTTTTTTCAACGGCTCCAGCTGTATTCGATTAAGTGCTCAGCTGAAACTGTAGTTCCTGATGCTATAAAACGCTCTCCCCCCCCCCAATAGCCATCCCTATTATTGTAACTGTGAACTAAAAAAATACGTCCATTGTGCCTCTCCGCTCTAATGGCATGGAAATGTGGATGGACGGTGAGAGATCAGCCTGTCCAATCGTATATACCTGCCTTTGTACTGCCTTTGATATATAATAAGCTGTATGCGATATATTACATTTTTCACATCTACATCGTCTTTAATGCCAATATGCGGACAAAATGTTAAACAGGTCGAGATCATATGGTAGCAGTGATGCACGTCATAATTATATAATTTGCCCTTGACAGGCATGACCTGCGGCCGGCGACAGCAATCGCGCAAAAGGTCAGGTGACGTCGGAGGGCAGGACAAACCGTGCCGAGCATTGCAGCGCGTTAAACTCTCACCACCGAATTCTGCCGTGAACTCGAGACTTCACGATCGGGTGTAGAGGTCAGAGTTCACGTAACAGGCTCAGCTTAGAGTGACCTCTGATCCCAGGCATCCATCCATTCAAAGGATCCGTATTCGGTCCGATAAAGAAAATCATTGCCTGGAGATAAGGCGTTTAGATTTCACAACATTTCGTGGATTCAGAATTAGCGCGTTAAACAACGATTTTGGTTGCCTGTTCGGGCATACGGTGCCCAAGCTTCAAGCGACATGTTGGAAAAACTTGTTTGCCGCATATTTTTGAACATAGAGTGCCTTTATCTTCATCGTCAACCCCATCTAATCAGCCATTACTTTGGCGGTAGCTGGCGTTTCGGATATATATATATATATATATATATATATATATATATATATATATATATATATATATACCGTGGCACGTACAATGCATGCCAATCAGTGTTGAAAAAATGCCTGCTTATCTCCAAACTGCGCTTGCTTTACAAAGAAGTTCAGCTTTAAAGAGGACACCGGTCTCCCAAGGAAAGTGAGGAGTATATTTACACCGCAACCAAACAGCGCGTGCCGCCCTGCCTTTTAGGTACGAACCAACAAAATTCATGACGGTACAGAAATTCGAGATTTGTCGCAGAGGAGGACGATTTTTCGCGGCTTTGCCCTACGTAGCAGCAGCCGCAGACACTAATAAATAATTACAGTTAGGTGTGATCGTTTTACGGACGAGTGGCGCGGTACATTTTATTCCGGTCGCCTCGGTGGCTGTGGTGCCCGTATTACTTACGCATGGCTGGAGTTACATTCGTAATACGTTGGCATAACAAGTCGCATAACGTCAGGGACGTTAAGGAAGAGGACATCTTTAACGAGCCGGCCACCTTTGACAGGGGAATACAGCCGAGAAAAACATAATCCTTGCATCTTAATAAATCCAACTTTAAGTCATGCCATCAGCGTCCATGCAGATGTTGGGAGTTACCTTCGACCACATGCTATCCAGGAAGAATCACATCTAGATTAGTAAAAAAGCGCAATGCCATCCTGTTCTTTATTCTATACATCAGATGCGTCATCATCTCATAGCCGCAGCCCACTTATCCGAGCCCATGTTTTCCCTCCCATTTCGTACTATCTCTCAGTTAGGGCGTAGCCTCTGCCTGCTATCTCAGCCGGGTGTAAATGGTGAATTTCGCGGCCTGGGCCATCCCGTGGGTGCGGGTCTGGGATAACATTTCGTTGGTCGTGTTGTCGCTGGGTTGGCCTTGGCGCCTTCAGGGTCTGAAATGACCCCTGCGTCCCCATGGCGGTCCGGTCTCTGCCCAACCCTCTCACCGCTGTCGGCGCGTCAAGCGGTCGGTGGTGGCCGCCGCTTTGGGATTCCCCGCTTTCCAGCTTAGACCGCCTGACAGGCTGCGTGGAAGACTGTAAGATTAGCGCCCAGGCGTTGTCGTACTGTAGGCCTTGTCCTGGAACCACCTGCTATCGGCTGGTGTGGCTTACCGGAGCCGTGCTGTGCTCATGGCTAGACTTAACCTATATGACACAGAGGATAGTGCTCGCGTTTATGCGCTCTTTTATGTCATTCGTATTTTTTATCATAGCCGCATATTTAATCGTGCTGCATGATGCCCATTGACTCTAGCCAAACACTAAGCTATAGAAAACGAACGATTCGTAGTGAATACGTGAAAATGATAGCCATGATGGGAGGCGACGGCCTCACTCAAGAGTTCTGCTCGGGGGGGGGGGGGGAGGGAAGCGGTGCTCAGCCCCTAAAGTAGATAGTAACGTCCTTGGACACGGGACGATGTCGCAGAAAATTGGTTTCAATTCGCAGGGTTCGAAGTAAATTCAATATTTTGGCCCATAGAACAGATTTTAACCAGGTGCCTGAGGAATTGAGCCAACAATTTTGCGGGCATTACGTGGTTTCGTATTGAAGCTATTTCATGTTCGCTTTTCGCCGGAAAATCAACAACTGACCCACACCAGAGCGGCATTGCTTTTTCACATATACTACATAAGGCGGGGGTAAAATAGTGAGAATTTTCAATTTGGTCAAAAGGACCAGAAGTTCCCGTTGGAGTGTCTAATTTAGAACGGAATAGCTAGTTTAGTACAAACCTAATTTTTAGCAACTGGGACGCTTAACGACCTTAGACGTATATGGCGAGGGTGATCCGTGTAATGGCGTACGAGAAACACGTTGATGCGACCTGTGCACGTGTCACCGAGAAGTGGGGCTGTTGCGAAGCGTCTGAGGCAGGGCCACTGAACAGAGTTTGGGCTGAGGTTGGTCACAAGGTAGTAGAAACACTTACAATCCTCTGTTAGTAGTAGGTGAATACGAGCTTAGCATATAGAAAATAACTTTATGGGCGTTTTATGAGTGAAGGGGAGCTAGCGTATGGGAAACGTGAGGGAAATGGAATGCTATTTCATGTATTGTAATCTGGTGGCCCTTTAGGCCTCTGATTCGTGACAGGGGTTTTCAAGCCAGTTTGAAATAATTTGATCCATTGTGTTGAACACCTATGTGACAGTGTGCTAAATCTCACAGTTATATGAGCTGAACTAGAGCCAGGCAAATTGTGCTGTATTTTCCAATAATTTTGGGTGAAGTATGATTCAGTGTTGGAAATTCCAGAAAATTTCCTGGTAGTGGAGTACAAATTTTCTATAGTGCAGGTGCTGCAGGTCATCACAGTTTCATTTAGGTTATCTTTGGGAGATAACACTATAATGGGTGATACTCCACAGAAGTACATTTTTTATATGCTGCAATCCATGTAAAAGCACTTTAAATGAAAGGAAACATCAGTATTCAGCATGGCACACTGAAACAACAGTCTCAGGCTGTACTCTGAAATGCATGTGCATATACATTGGTCTGCAATTTATGAAAGGCTCTGTGTGAACACCCTCCAAAACAGGGTGGTGTAGGTATACATCAGTGCCTACTGTTAGAAAAAAATGATGGTACATCAATTGTAATGTTAAAGGTGGAACATACCACAAATAATCACAAAACAGGTAGATTCACGCTCCTACCTTCAAATTTTAATAACTATGATAACGAGCTCCTGAGTGCCACACACACCTCACTGCCTTGACTCCCCAGCACCTCTCATGTGTTATCATTGCATAGTTACAATATTTCTGCCTACCAAGAACCATACAAAATTATGGGGCCAAGGTAATAATAGTAATGCAATGACAAATGTTTCTTATCATGTGTGGGTACATTTATGAAACAGACAGGCCAGAATAGTCCAGGACATAGCCTAAACTAGCCTAGCCTAGCCTAACCTAACCTAACCTAACCTAACCTAACCTAACCTAACCTAACCTAACCTAACCTAACCTAACCTAACCTAACCTAACCTAACCTAACCTAACCTAACCTAACCTAACCTAACCTAACCTAACCTAACCTAACCTAACCTAACCTAACCTAACCTAACCTAACCTAACCTAACCTAACCTAACCTAACCTAACCTAACCTAACCTAACCTAACCTAACTTAACTTAACTTAACTTAACTTAACTTAACTTAACTTAACTTAACTTAACTTAACTTAACTTAACCTAACCTAATCTAACCTCCCCACCCTATCCCCTTCAACCCAGTGTCCCACTGGCCTCCATGTTCCATGCCATATATATGTACCATATTAATAAGTTTTGCTTAGCCACCATAATCTCATTTTGCTTTTCATTCCCACCCAAAAATGTAATATTTGCCCACCATGTCAACCAATCTACAAACAATATGGAAGACTGCTTGGATACACAAGAAACATATTTCATTGGATTCTTTTTACCTTGGCCCCACATATTTTTATGGTTTTTGATGCACAGTAATGTTGTGATCGCGTGTAGCAATGGCGCTGGAGTCGCGGTTGCTGTGTGTTTGCGGCACTCAGATGTTCGGTATTGTAGTTATTTAAGTTGCAAGGTAAGAGTTTAGATGACCTGTTTTACAATTAATTACAATTTGTTCTGCCTTAAAAATGATGATTGATTACAATGCTCTTTTTTAACATGAGGTAGCAATGTATATCCTGACCCAGAGGGTAATTATGCATCAGGCTTATACACTCTCCAAAATGGCAGGTGGCTACACACCAGGCTTATACACGCTCCAAAATGGAGGATGGGTAGGATACGCACAGCCAGAGAAAAATGGTACTCAAAGAATGCAAATGAACATGCCCAGACAGCCACCTACTCATGCTCCACCAC